GCACCCTCCTAAACACTATATACATATAAATAAATAAATAAATATTTTTTTTATCTTGCTTTGTTACCTTTCTGTTTGGCTTATCACTATTATATATTTTCCTTATTTATCTTGTCTATGTATTGTCTCTTTCTCTAGACTGTAGGCTTCATGATAGTATGGCTCTTCATTTTGTTCATGGTTATCACCACACGCACAGTAAGCGTGCATTCAGGAAGTACGTGTTGAATGAAAAAATGAACAAATCGACGGGTGTAATATGTCCAAAAAGGTGACCTTCCCCCTACCCAGAAACAAAGATTCAAAGATTTCCTTGGAGGAAGCTGTACTGCTCTGCATTTCTTGCCATTCTCTCTCACTGAGGCTTTTAGCCATGGAGGATCAAGCTTCTTGGCGCCAGTGCGTGAGTGCTGGGAACTAGAACAAGCTGCCCACCACAGACTCATTTTTCAGTCTTACGGCAGAGGTCTGGTAGAGGCTCACCAGACCTGTTCCCGCTGGCTGAGCTCACAGGTCCGTGCTACCTCTAGCCCTCTTTGCATCTCAGTGGGGCCAGGTGGCCCGTGGGAACTAGAACAAGCTGCCCACCACAGACTCATTTTTCGGTCTTACGGCAGAGGTCTGGTAGAGGCTCACCGGACCTGCTCCCGCTGGCTGAACTCACAGGTCCATGCTACCTCTAGCCCTCTTTGCATCAGTGGGGCCAGGTGGCCTGTGGAATGCAGGCCAGAGTGATGCAGGCCACCTCTAGGCCTGGCACCTAGAACATTCTGTGCAACTGTCCTTCTGCTCTCTTCGCACTGGCCCGCTGAGTAAGGAAGATTCGGTGGGGGAATTTGAGGCCCTAAAAGATGGTGGAGCCAATGGATGGAAGAAGCCTGGAGCTCTGAATGACCATGTGGATCAGCGAACCCCCCTACCCCCCACCACACAGGACTGCACTGAGAATGTGGAATAAGCCTGTGTTGTGTACTGAGCCACTGAGATTTTGGGGTGGCTTGTTAGAACAGCCGGTATGACTTACCCTGACGATGCAGATATTAAGGCCATTATATTGGAAAGTGCCACGTTAGGCAGTAATGCACTTGGTTATCTGATACATGTCACATTCCTAAGAGAAACCTAATTTGCCTTTTCTTAACTGAAAGTTCGGCCTCACTGGACTTTTGTAACAGTTATAATGAACTGTCAAGGGTGAGATAAGGAGAGACAGGGAGAAGCTATTAAAACACTGCTTCAAGTTTAACTGTCTTCTTCCTTTAATAAAAATACCAATTACACACATGGGCAGCAGCTGGGGTGATCTCTGCAGACACACTTGCAAGGAACCATAACCTGACCCCAGTTTTGAGACACTGAAAACTTACAGAGGCCGCTGTCATCATCAACGTGCAGGAGACTTTTGTGTATGATGCGAAAGCTATAGATTGTCTATACTCTGGGGTGTAGCTTTCAGTTTGGGTTTTTATGACTAGAGAGTACGTTTTGCGCATACTGAGTATAATCCACATTCAAGGGGGTATTTCTCTCGTTCACCCGGATCAGGGACGTCAGACCAGCATCAGCCACATCACACTGCCAGGTCCGGGTATTATGGCCTGAGCAGCGCTGAAGTAGATGCTCTGTACAATAAGAAAGCAGCGTGGAAACATAGTGAAACGTTTACCTGCCCGGCCAGCATTTCATATAACAGGACGCCGTAGGCCCACCAGTCCACAGATTTCCCGTACGGCTGATAAGCGATTATCTGTGTGAAAGCAAATACATCAATTACATTGAGTGGCAAAGCAAAAAGCCTGTGCTAGAACAGAGAAGGCAAGCATGTAGGCATTGATATACTTGGTTCATGCAAACGAGGGGCTGATAATATCTGTCTTTGATTTCTACAGCAGGGGAAGAGCGCTCTTCAAATCAGACACGTCAAGAATTATCGCCCCACAATTCAATGCCAAAAACCCCATTTTGGAATACCTGTCTGAAGGTAGCTTTAATTATCTTCACTGGTAAAAAATATTTGGACACTGAGGTGGGTTTAATTCTTGGGAAAAGCCAGAGGTCATTCAGAGCTAGGGGTCTTATAAGTAAGATAAACTTTGAAACAGAATTTCACTAAAAGTAATAAAGAGGATGATGAGAATGAAGAGAACAATGATTCAGGTAAAAATTCTAGTTTTCTGTGTTGCACGTAGAGAGATACAATAATATCTGTTGAATGACTGAAGTTTTAAAATGTTTTAAAAGAGAAAATAGCATAATCAAATGTAATGTTTGGACCTTGTCTGAATCCTTGATTCAAACCAACCGATTGTAAAAGAGAAATTGGGAAAATTTAAACATGATCTTGATCTTAGATATTTAGGGATTGCTGCTAAAATTGTTAGGTGGGAGGAAGGGTATGGTGATTAGTTAAAAAGTGTCCTTTTCAGTTCGAGATAAGAGTATTTATGAGTGAAATGTGTGAGAAATTAAGTATTTATGAGTAAAGTGACATCTTAGATTTGTTTTAAATACTTCGGGGGGAACAGATGAAATGAGTTGGCAAAATGCAGACAGCCACTGACGCTGAGTGATGGGCCCAGGGGACCTCCTTTGCCTCCTCTAACTTTGTGGCCATCAGAAGTCCTAGGATAATTCGCAACCTCCACTCATGGAAGAGAAATACTGATTTGAATTTCTAAGGGCAGCCAGTTTATTTAAACACTGGCTTCAGGCTGCATACCTGACACACACAATTCCCAGGCCCATGGACCATGTGTCAGGATTCAAGGTGAAGACATACTAACAGGTACTCAGCAGGACCACTGTGCCACTTTACGTATGAATTTGACTTTGAAGTGTTCTAGGATATGTTTTTTAATGGCCTATACTGTGTCTGGGACATAATTAAATGTCCTGGGACATAAACTTCTTGTATGTCTGGCCATCTCCGTGCCTTTAACATATTACTAATATTTCTTCCTGTAGAATGAGAGGTGCACACTCTTGGGGCTCAGCTCAGTGTGGGCAGTGACAAAGGCGGACAGGTTTAGAGTTGGTAGCTTTATAGCTCGTTTTCTTTGGAAAGAAAATAACCACCAGAGGGACCTAAGAGGAGGCTTTTGCTTCTTTTTAAAACTACGTTTGTTCTTTTCTGAAAACTTGGAAAATACACACACACAAAGCACACACACACAAAAAAACCCTACCAAAATGAGTCTCTAGTCTATTACCCGGTGACATGGAATCATGCATATCATTCTAGTTCCCAGACCGGAAATTACTGGATCGAAGCCTGTCTTGACCAAGTAGAAACACAACAGGTATTCTCTCTGGGGGACCAAAGGCACCCTTGCTGAGCACCTGCTATCAGATGCTCTATACGAATTTTGCATAATCCGACGAGACAGAAATTATCATTGTCCCCACTGGATAGGCGAGAAAACTGAGGCTCCAGAAATTTAAGAGACTTGCCTGAGGCCAATCAGTTAACAGGCGGTGCTCCGAATATTCCCGTGTTTGTTTTAAAAGTGTAATCCATGGCTTTTGAATACATGTAATCACTCCTACTAGGATTAATAAAATATTAATCAAAGAGATTTGCAACGATCGTTTTTGTTTTGTAACTCTATTTCAAAAGCTCTCGAATAAAATTTGTTCTTGTAACTAATATGTTGAAACTGGTCCCTGTGATCTGTTTTCAAAAATCAGTGTTTTAGTTTGTTTGTAGCACAAGCAGAACTGAGGCACCACGCTACTGTGTGAATTATGAGGCTGAGGAAAAGGGGGTCCTCAACAACGAGGGGGTCACGCTTTATTTCATAGCCGATATTCTAGAAACATCCAACCAGGCTTACCAACCAGACCGCTCTGCGTGGGTGGTGGGACAAGGCCCCCGAGTTTGGAAAGGTGGCAGAAGTCAAGGGTATGGAAACTCTGTTTCTGGTGAGAATGATTCACAAATCCTAAAAGCCAGGGCCACCTGAAGGTTTTGTTTTGTTTTTGACTCTGTATCAACTTTGGTCTCACTTACTTTTCATTTCCTATTTCTACATCATTAAACTCTTCTGACTCCTGCTGCTAACACCCTCTCCTTCCAAGGCTTACAAAAGCAGAATGCCAAGTGCTCATGGCTTGTTTTCCTTGGCGACAGCATTCATCAGTCCCTAGGGCCCACTAGCTCGGCTACTGGGTCGAGATTACAAAGTCACTTGGAACATGGCAGTGCCTTCGGGTGTAATAATAGGACGGGATTTAGAATTTAGCTGGAGCATTTCCTCCTGGAGATGTCTGCCATCTGTCACCCCTGGCTTGTGCCCTGGATGAAATGGGAAGGTCCGAAGATCTAAGTCGCATGGTACGGGGTACAATCTTACCAATGCAAATTCAGTTTTAGAATGAAGCATACTTTTCCCTCAGTGATTAGCTATTGATAAATATGTTCCATTATCCAAAAATCTCACTGTAAAAGAGAAACAGGATGTCGGTTACACTGTCCCTCGTGAGCTGTCGAGACCCGCATGGTCCAATAAGGAGCCACTGGCCACATGTGGCTACTGAGCATTTGAACACCGAGATGTGCTCTAGGTCTAAATTACACATCAGATTCTGAAGACTTAGTACCAAAAAATGCAAACTATCTCATGAATAATTTTTTTATTTTGGATCTATTAAATTAAATAAAAATATATTAAAATTAATTGTACCTGTTTAAGTTTTTAAAATGTGGTGGCTTAATGCAGCTGGCTTGCATTTCAGTTCTGTTGGACAGTGCTGGTCTAGACCCTCTCACTGGCTCCCATGACCCACTTCTGGTTCCCTGGCTTTCGTTGGCCAAGGGAGCCAGCTTCGGGCTGAGGACCAGGATCCGAGGCCACAGAATGGATGCTGAGGCCCTCTTGTGTCTGTCCCCACTGAAGCATGTGTCTTTGGCACTGGTGGGCCAAGGGTGGCTTGTAGCCACGCCTGGGGGATTGCCAGACATCCTGAAACCCCAGGCAAGGGGCCCCCGTGATGGCAATTTGGTTTCCCAGAGTGAAGAAACTCACAAAAGGAGAGGCTGACTTGGCAAGAGGTCTCTAGTTGGCCGATCTCCCTGCAGCACATGGGAGGTTGGACTTCAGCTTCAAAGGCAGACCCACCAGCGGGATCACTGTCATTCAGTTTTACCGCTATGTGTCATTATGATCATTAGTATCATACTTATCTGAGCCCACTGCTTAGGGGAGGTGTGTGTCAGGATGTTATAAATAGCTGCCTGTCTTATAAAAGTGAGATGTGAATGAGCTTTCTCCCAGCCTGGGCACAGGACCAGGAGTGAAAGGGGTTAGGGGAGCAGCCTCTCAACTCTTACCAGGCCGAAGGCCCACAGCGGCTGGGCAGGTGTCGCTCCAAGGCCACCCACCCTTCCGTCCTCCGCCAGAGCTACACGCTGGAAGGCCTCCCAAAGAGGGTAGGGCTTCAGAAGCTTTCTGGGAGATGGCGGGGGCAGCGAGGCAAGGTTTGAGATGCTACTGGCGATAGTGACGATGGCGGTCATTGCTGTCACCATTATGATATTCGGCATGCTCCAGGCGCCTTAGCTCTGTTAGCTGACTCGGCCCTCATAAGACCCTGACCAGGTAGGGGCACCCCACTCCAAAGATGAGGAAATGAAGCACAGAAAGGTGAAGCAGCTCGCCCAGAGTCACCCAGCTAGTAAGTGGCCAAGCTGGGATTTGAACCCTGGGTGTCTGGCCTTGGCCTACACACATTTGACCATTTTGATAAACTGATGGTGCATCAGTTCTCGACCCAGCATGGTTCCTTAGACAGCTGTGGCAGGAAATGGCCCAATGAAGGTGACTTTTGCCAAAAAAAAAAAGGGTTCAAATCCTTAACGGGATCAAAACAGCCAATATGCCTGCTCCACTCAGGAAGTCTGGTTCTGAAGGCTTCGTCTCACAAGGCCCCCGAGACCGTAACGTGGGTGCGAGGACACTCGCTCTCCCGTTCCTGGCTGCTGGACTTCCAGCCGGCTCTGCTCTTCCTGCTCACGTTACATTTACTCGCTAAACCTCCGGAGCCCATTCTAAAACAAATGGCCTGACCATGCAGGCTCTTTCCGGGCTGCCGCCACAAAACCACGCTGGCCTTGATGCGTAAAACACGCTCACGTCATTTTACCGTCTCAGAGAAACCAAGTCATCCCTTTCTCAAAAAATAATGCTCCCTGTCGAAACAGCACCGTCTGGGGAGAAGGAAGATGGGCCTTCTTTCTGGGCTGTTCTGTCCTCACGGTTGGGACCCCGAGTTCACTAAGCATCCCCTCCAGTTCCCCCAGTGGCGCCCACAGCCCCAGGGCCTCGCAGCTCCTGGAGCCTCTGCCACCTTACGTGGAGACTGCTTCTCTGCCCTGACTCGGCCCCAGACTCTTCCCAGCAGGGACTGGGCCGTCCTTCTGTGCACCCAGCACGGTGACGCTCCCTCAGGCTGTGTGGGGGAAATGAGGCGATCTGATGCCAGCCCACTCCGCAGACGGCACCGACTCACAGCTGCAAAGCCCAAAGGGCTCGCAGGATTGCTGGATGGCTGAGGCTGCAGGGGACCTTGGAAAAGTAATCGCGTGCTTGAAGGTCACTGGGTGGTTAATGGCAAGGTCCGTGTCCTGTTCCTGCAGCACTTAGCCTAGAGCAGACAAACAGGAGACACCACGGCGTGGCTAGGGAGGCACCCGCAACTCTCGGCCTAAAATGCTCCCCAGTCAAGCACATCCAAGCCCAGAATACCGGA